CTGTCTGTCTGTCTGTCTGTCTGTCTGTCTGTCTGTCTGTCTGTCTGATGGCTTTTGAGACTGTTCTCTCACTCTGATTTTCAAATGCCCTCTTCTTTTATACTCTTGATGACCTATTAATTTCTTACAATAGGATTGGTCCAAGGTTGTCAAAACCATCAGGTTTAAATTTAATTAGGCATTGGTATCTAGGGCCTGTTTTAAATTAATTGGCTAAATTCAAAAAACCTGTTGTCTTTGTAAAAATGCTGCTTTCCCTACAAACTTTTTTCTCAAGCCGATAAAACACACCTTTTAAAGGGACTACACACTCTTCCAAACTATCATTTTACAAACAAATTCTAATATCCTGCCTTACAATCCAGAAGTACTATTCCAACTTTGCAACACCTCACCCCATAAGAAAAAATGAACCATCATTATGAAAAGATGGCTTTTTTTTTTCTCTAAATCTTAACACCATTTTCACAAGATGCATAGGTCATTAATCTAGAGTTACATGTTTTATACTAATTCTGTACACATATATATAACATAGACACAGTAGTGTTCAATCTTATACACATATATTTTCCTTTTTAAACCTGTGATAATGCATCTGCAGTAGCATTTTCACGACCCGCAATATGTACAATCTGTAAATTAAATGTTTGTAACATAAGACTCCAACAAAATAACCTGGTGTTCTTGTAATTAAACCTTTCCAAATATGTCAAAGGGTTGTGATCAGTGTACACAACCATATCTGATATATTGTTTGCAGCATTAAAATGTTGTAAGGCCAGTACCAAACTCAATAACTCCTTTTCAATGGTTGAATATTTTCTTTGGTGGATATTGAGTTTCTTTGAAAAAGAACCAATTGGCCTTTCGATTCCAGAATCATGCTCCTGTAACAACACAGCTCCAACACCTACATTGCTTGCATCAATGGTGGCTTCAAAGGGTTTCAAGAAATTTGGCATGGCTAAAACTAGTGCGGTGATTAACATTGCTTTTCAATTCTCAAATGCCTCCTGGCATGGTTCTATCCACCAAAATTTTGTGTTTTTCTTCAACAAATCCACCAGTGGTGCCACCACGCTGCTAAAGTTTGGAACAAACTCCCGGTAGAATCCGCTCAGTCCCAAAAATCATAGCACTTCCTTCTTCAAGGATGATCTTGGAAATTCCTCGATGGCCTTCGTCATCACCTTCCTTGGTGTCATCCTTCCATGTCCGATGTTGTGTCCTAAGAATGTCACTTCCACCTTCGTAAATTCTGTCTTTGCCAAATTTATGACCAATTTTGCCTTACGTAGTCTCTCAAAGAGCTCTGCCAAATGCGGCATGCGATCTGTCCACAAACGGCTAAAGATCATTAAGTCATCTGAATAGATGGCACAATTAGTCAATCCTGCTGCAACTCTGTTTGTAAGCCTTTGAAATGTGGCTGATGCATTCTTCATTCCAAAGAACATTTTCTTAAATTGATACAGTCCATTTGGGTTACAAATGCAGGAACTTCTTTCGCTCTCTCCGACAAAAGTACTTGCCAGTAATCACAAAGTAAGTCCAAGTTTGTGATGTAAGTGGCTTTTCCAACTTTTTCCACACAGTCCTCCAGTCTTGGAATTGGGTATGAGTCTAATTTAGTCCCGGCATTGACCTTCCAATAATCTATGCAGAATTGTTGAGTACCATCAGATTTGGGAACCAACACAATTGGCAAATTCCACTCGCTTTGATTCGGTTCTATGATGTTTTCTTAGAGCATCGCTTCCACTTCTTTCTGTACCTGTGCTGCTTTGAGAGGATTAAGCCTGTAGGGTTATTGTTTAATCAGACAGCATTCCCTACGTCAACCTCATGTACTATTGTAATCATCCTCCCCATTCTATTTCTACATATGTCCTCATTGTGCTGCAATAAACCTTTCATTTCAGTTCTCTGTTCCTGAGACAGATAGCTTGCTATCCTAATTCCATTCTTTAAGGACTTCCTCATTATTTAATTTATTCTGAGGCACATCAAATCTGAATCATCTGGATTTGATTCTTCACTCTGAGTGGCAGTAACTAATGTGTTTCTCTGGTTCCCTTTCCCTGTCATAGTAAGGTTTCAGCCTTACATGTTCACATGACATACCTGATAATTTTTTTCTCTATCTGGCATCTTTGCTAGATAATTCACCTGGCTTAACTTCTCAGTTTGATAGGGACTGCTTAACCTTGCTTTGAAGCATTCTTCTACCACTGGTAACAACAAAAATACTTTATCCCCATGGGCAAATCTACAAATTTTAGATTTCTTATCTGCTTCTTGCTTCATTAGATGCTGTGCCATCTTCAAACGTTGTCTAGCTAATTCACCTACTCTCGTTTAATCTTTCTTTCACCACAGATACATAATCCAATTGTAAGATCTCTAACTTTGGACTTATCAACTTTTCCTTAATTCATGTCCGAATATCAGTTCAAATGCAGTAAACTGTGTTGATTCATTTGGAGCATCTCTAATAGCAAACAGTATAAATGGGATACCTTTATCCCAATCATTTGGGTAATCCTGGCAATAAGCCCTTGGTCTTTAGGGTCTGATGCCACCTCTCCAATGTTCCCTGGGATTCAGGATCGTACGCACTTGATTTAAAGTGTTTGATGCCTAAATTATTCATGACCACCTTAAATAATTTGGTGGTAAAATTGGACCCTTGATCTGACTGAATCTCCCTGGGTAGTCCATAACGGGTAAAGAAAACAAGCAACTCTTCAACAATCTTTTTTGCCTTGACGTTCCATAATGGAATTGCCTGTGGAAATCTGGTAGTCACGTCTGTCATGGTTAGGAAATACTGGTTCCCACTTTTGGTTTTAGAGAGAGGACCTACACAACAATCATAAACTGTGTGAAAGGTTCTTCAAATGTGGGAATTGCCATCAAAGGCACTGGTTTCATTACTGCCTGCGGCTTTCCTACCATCTGACAAGTATGGCAAAATTCAGCCACATCTTTATGTTATCCAAGCCAATAGAAATGCTTCTGTATGTTGCCCTGAGTCTTCCTCACTCCTAGATGACCTCCTACAGGTAATTTGTGTGCTATCCGCAATACTTGCTGTCTATCTGTTACCAGCAACACAATCTGGTGAACTTCTGCCCATTTTTCCTCTGTACTAACCTGCTGAGGTCTCCATTTCCACCTTAGGATTCTATCCTTAAGGTAATTATATTTAGGAAAACATTCTGATTCGTTTTCCAAGTAAGTCTTATGATGTCAATCTTTTAGTGTCTCAACTTTTTGTTGTAACTCCATTAGTCTTTCAGAACTAAACACCTCTGCCTGATCCTCTACCTGTTTATGTTTTGCCCTTACCATTTCATCGAACAGGGTGGGAGCTAACTGGACCTCAACTCTTTCGTCTTTCACTTAGGTTAAAGCAAGAAGAGAAAACCAATGACTGTGGTATCTTGTCATCACACAGTCCGGAAACATTCCAGTGTATTTTTTCTTTTAACTCCTCAGTTCCCTGATTTTCCTTTGGCTTCCCCACTACAATGGGCATCACTGTCACCTTTAATCTGCTAGATTGTTTCCAAGAACAAACAATATTCCTGTTCAGATAATTCCCACTTCACTT